GGGCCGTGGGGCCGTGGGGGTGGGGGCTGAGGGGCGGGTGGTGGGGGTCCCGTAGGCCGGTGGGGACGCAGGTCTGGTAGACCCAGACCCGATGGGACTCCATGTGTTCTAGCCCTGTGGGTGGGAATCCTGTTTTTACGAGCCCTCCCGTCTCCCACGAGCCCTCCCGTCTCCCACGAGTGTAGCAGAAGTCAGAGAGGGAGAGGGAACAAAGTAAGGGTTACGTGGAGATTGCCACGGCGGCGAAGCCGTCTGCTCCGCTCAGCGCTCCTTGCGGGATGCGTGGGGACCAGATAGTGTCACACGGGAGGGGCCCAGCAGCACAGGCCAGGCCCCCTGGAAGGCTCCAGCTCCACGGGCCCGGCGGGGGCAAAAGCCTCGTCCTTTCCTGAAATTCCCCTGCGTCCTGTACCCGGTTGTGCGGGGCCTCCCCCGCCGCCACCGTCAGCCCTGGAACCAGCCGCGTCCCCGGGGGGCAGGCATCACATGCCTTCCTCCATTCGTTCTGGCCCCTCCGTCCGCTCACCCGTGTCCCAGACCTTGTTTGATTTGTGCCCTCTGTCCTCCTCTGTCCCCTCCGTGTCGCAGCTGCAGAGAGCTAAATCCCCCATCAGCCTGAAGCGAGCCTCAGATTTCCAAGGTTGGTGCACACCCGGACCCCTCTCCTGTCTGTCCGTCCCTCTGCCTCTCCCGGTCCGTCTTCCCCATTGTGGCCATCAGTCGTGTGCAGTCAGCCTGGACGGGCCTGGGGACCCCGGGGAGAGGGGGTCCGGTAGTATCTCACATCCATCGTCACGGGAGAGGGCGGGCGCTGAGACACAGAAAGGTCACGTCTGTCACACACACACACACACGCACACGCAGAGGTCTGCCCGGAGCCCCTGATCCCTCAGCTGGAATTCATAGCTCTGCTCACAGCTTCAGGCTCCCTGCCGGGCATTGTGGGTCCATCTGTGAGCCTGGGCTCTGAGGCCGGGCCACCAGTGAGGAGGGGGAGAGGGGCTCCGACACTCAAGAAAGGGGGGACAGAGGAGGGCTGGAGAAAGGGCGTCAGGAAGAGAGACAACCTCTGGAAGGACGCCCAGGACAGAGTGGGGAGCGGGGGCAGGGTTGAGCCCGGCGTGCTGCCCGTCTAGAGCTCAGAGCAGGGGGTGCCGGGAACAAGGCTGCAGAAGGTGACAGGGGTGACAGGGCGGGAGCAACAAGCCCTCCGGGATCTGCGGGGGGGCAGGGGAGGCCCATCCACTCCTGTCATCGCCAGCCCAAGTATCTCTAGAACCTCCTTTATCAGAAGGGAGGCGTGAAGGGCCTGGGGCTTGTGGAGGAACAGAGAAGTGTTTGCCCCAAGAAAAGGGAAAGGAGGCGGCAGGGTGACGGAGCTTCTGGACTCTTCCCAAGCCTTTGCCCCTGCTTAGCGTGAGGTGTGGGTTCGTCCCAAGGTGCTCCCACACGGAGGCGCGCACACGTGTCTGTGCGTGCACGTGGGGTGACTGACAGGCTGTGCAGCAAGGCAAGGGCTGAGACAAGTGTGCACAGAGCCCCAGGGAGCCCCTGAAGGCGCAGGAGGGGCGGCAGGGGCTTCCTGGGGAGGGGACGTACTCAGTCCCCGTTGGCCCCAGTCTCCAGTCGGCCTGTCTGGTAGGGATGGTGGGATCTGCTTCGAGGACAAGGTCCTGGGGTGGGGACATTCGCGCTCTACAAGAGACACGTGGTCCGCTGATCCACAGAGTGCCAGCTGGGGCCCCAGCCCGAGTCCTCAGAGACCGAGGACACGGTCCAGCCTGGAGCGAGGCCACCCTGGGCCCGGCTGGGGCTGGACACACTGGTCGGCAAGACCAGGTTCCCTTCCAGGAGCCTGCAGCTGGGGGGACCACAGGAGGGAGGAGGCGGCCACACACCATCCCTCAGAGGACAGGCCGCCCAGCCGGGACAGCCCCCGGGTGCTCGGTGCCCGTGGGGATCTCAGCCCCTCTTCCCTGCCCCTTTGTCTCCTGCTTCTGTGAGGACAGGGCGAGGCCATGAGGAAGAAGGCACTGACGCGAGCCCCAGCTCCTCCAGATCCCTGCCCATCACCACCTCGTTCTCCAAGATGGTAAGCGGGATCCCCAGCACACTCCCTTCTGGCTCAGAACC